AAAAAAAAGATGTTTTCTGAATCAAAATTGGGACCCCCTCCTAATAAAAAATTCCTGGATCCGCCTGAGTGTGATTGGATGACGTTGTCTCCTGAGTTTCTAAGGGAGGCACTAAGGCATGGGGGGGGGAGGGTATCGATTTTCTTCCTGGCTCCAGTTGAAGGTGATGAAAGTTCACAAAGAAGTTCTTCGCGAATTTCTTCAGATGTTTGAAGGAGAAGTGAAAAGCTGGTCAGAAATTTTGGTTAGGAAACCAGATACCTTGGGATAAGAAAAAATTACCAATGTTAAGAACCTTTGCGTGCCTTATTGTGCATACAGTTATGCCTAACGTTGTTTGCTATCTCGACCTTGTGTTGGGATATTTTAGGTTATTTTTGACGGTCATTTTCGGTAATTTTGTTTTACAGGAACTGATACTGACACAGCAACATTGGTGGTCACCAGCAACAAAGGACATATAGAAGTGGATATCCCCCCTCCAACAAAGGAAGTCCAGGCCTCAGACTATGAACTTAACCGAAACTGGCTGTGGATAGTAGGAGCTTCCGTTTCCGTTGTTATTCTTGCGGGTTTAGCCCTCAAGGTAAAGAAAGCCAAAGGTAAAAGGTTTTGATGTCTCGTAGCAGACTATGCATAATATTTAACCTGGTGGAGGAATTTAGTTATTTAGTAAATGAACCCTTTCAGGTGGCTTGCATGTCGGCTGATAATGTCCACGGCTGAGATATTGCCCGTGAAATGAGGCGAGGCTTCAGTAAACAAAGTTTAATGTCTTTACGTGGGGCACGGTTACCCATATTACTCGAGCCAGAGGCTCATGTATGAAACACAAGACAACAACCCAACCATCCCAGCCCAGGGGAGGACATCCATCACACAGTAATCTCGTGCGTGGGAAATTCACGTCTCCTACCCCTAACCCTGCAGGAGACAGGACCTCCGTTTATTCGTCCCTATCCGAGAAGACTAGAATATCTAACCATTTCTCGATGTTATAGAAAGGTAGCATATTCTTCTCAATTATTTTAAGACCTTGAGTGTTGGTCCGGCCGGGGCTCGAACCCTCGACCCCCCGCACATCAGTTCAGCGCTCTATCCATTGAGCTAATCGGGAGGCGGTTTAAGATGTGTGAATTTGAAGCTGGCCTTAAGGTTAAAGAAAGCTCAGAATAAATGAAATGAAATTTGCTGCTTTTTTTTTCAACTAATCCATTCTAGAATTTTGTTTTAAGATGGCGTACCTTGTTATCTGTGGATGACCTCGTTGATCAAGTTGTTCAGGCATTGGACAAAGGGAAACACTTGAAGAATACCTACATCATATTTTCCTCAGATAATGGATTTCATCTTGGTGGGTATGGTGATAAAAAAAAAAAAACAAAAACAATTCAAAGGGTAATTACCTACAAGTGACAATTAATTGTGTTAATAACATAAATCACGTAAAGCGCGCCCTTTGATTGGTCAATTCAGTGACTACTATTTTCCCATGGGTGTACGCAAGAAAATGTTTGCGAGAAATTGTTTTTTATGTTATAAAAGCAAATAGTAAACAACACAGCGTACACTATTGAATAATGGATGCACTTGGTTTGCTAAGCAATCAAGAAGCTAGAGTCGCGCTCGGCTATCGCTGTTATCTTACCGCAATCACACTTGCGAAGCATGGTTAGTTAAACCAGGTTTACCTGAATGAAATTCAGCTACAGAAAACTGAAAAAATTAAGTTAATAAAGATTGCAAGTGGTCGCAAACTTTAATTTTCATTCTGCTAAATTTGAAGTCGCCACAAACGTCCATTGTAAGAACCTTTAAATAAAACCGTGATCAACAAAGCAGCTTTAAAACATGTTTTAGCTTAGAGTTGAGTTGGGTGTACGTAAATGATATCCTGGAAGGATCTGTTGTCTAGGAGTTGATGTCACTTTTGATGACCGTACATCATCCGCTATTTTTAGGTCAGTTTTCTCTTCCACAAGACAAGCGGCAGCTGTACGAATTTGACGTTCGTGTTCCCTTTATGATCCGTGGTCCTGAGGTGATGGCAAACAAAACTTCACAGGTGAAAATGTCTTTCCTAGAATATCGTGCGGTGACGAATGTCAACTCCCCCTAAAGAAGCGATACCGACGATAGAACACTTCGTTAAAAACGTAAAGGCGGTTCTAAGCGGAAACTCTGTTGATGCGTATAGTGTCAGCTTGCCCTCTTATGTATATATGTTTCATATGTTTCATATGTTTGTTGTTGCCCTCTTATGTTTCACGTAAAATAGGGTGAACCTTGCTGCTTCAACTTCGGGAAAGCTCACGTCGTGGTGGATTTGAAGGCGCCCTTGTATGATTTACAAGTAATAGTTTTTGTACCCTTTTTCCGGTACATGTAACTAACTTCTACTCTGTGGATAAAAAGTGAAGAAAATCTTACGTACACGGCAAATACGAAACAACCGGCAAACGTGAAAACATGGCGGGAAAATCACTTTGTAGGCAGGCATGGCCCTAAAATGCAATAAAATATTTTTTGTTTTCTCTTTGGCAATTACATTATTGATATAGGTACTATGCAGATGATTGTGTAGCCCTCTGGACTTATAAAAACTTAACGTTAACCAATTTTGTTTTGAATTTTGCAGAGTCCTATACTCAATATAGACATAGCACCAACTATTGTTGAGTTAGCTGGTGGGAAAGCACCAGAGTCTATGGATGGACGATCTATTCTTCCTCTCTTGGTGCGTTGTTGGTGCTGAAGGGTAGTCTAACGAAAATTTACCTGCAGTAGCGTTTGCCAAAAGAAACAAGTTTCAACAAGCTTAGATATACCCGTTACGGGGTCGGTCGTGCTGAAAACCAGAAATACGGTTTTTCGGAAGCGCGCTTTCCATTCAACCAAAAATTCCGGGAGTAAATCAAATGGAAAATACTTTCTCTGGAAAGAACAACTCAATGTTTTGAAAATGCCTCCTCAGGTTATCCTCTGTTTCTACAGCATGGCACAGTCTAATCCACTTAGCCTTTACGACATGGGATATTGTCCTTATTTTGTTATGTAATCCCACCTTTTCCTCCAAACGCGTTCTCCGTCTTAGGCGGAGAGCGTACAATATTTTTAGGCAAGGGTAAACTGTTGGGCATGGTGAAACTCTTGTTGAAAGCTTCAGCTTGTAACAGACTTTCAAGTCGTTTAAAATAATGTCTCTATAGCTCTTGCTGTGTCGTTCCAATGGTAGTTCAGTTTAAGTTACAACTAGCCAGGTTAAAACTCTGTTTGTCTATTTGCAGAAAAGATAGGTATTTAATCAGTCTTTTTGCTTCAATTTTAGAAGGCAGGTGGTGAGAACAGTCACAAGGAGGTAATTTTTTATAAATTGGAAAATATGATCACTGTATCACACACCTAGACCGCATTTTTCGCAAATCAGAATAGGGTAAAAAAAAATGTTTTACTACCATCTAAAGTCTCTTTCGCTAATTTCACGTTTTTTTCTTCTTTAAATACATCGGTGTTTCGCTAACAAAGTATTACGCTGTAAAACCCTCCCATTCACCCCTTTGTTGATTAATTTTTCCTTTTCGCCCTTATGGATCAGCTTCTATTTGTAAAACGTATTACACGGCTTTGTTTCTATTCAGGAAAATGTAGATTGGCGCACGGACTTTCTCGTTCAACACTTTGGTGAAGGGGATCTTAAGATTGGGGGATGCCCGGAGCTTTCTCCTGGTGTCTCGGTATGTGACTCGACTGCATTTAAATGGTCGTAGGATTTTCATTTGGCTGAATCTTCCCATAAGGCTCTGTAACATGCTAATGATCCCACCTCATTGGCAGTTATGGTTTTTATGATCTCGCTCCCGTGATTACTATGTGTAGATACCAATAATAAAGCCGGTCTATGCAGGTAATTGCTCTTAATATTTTCAACAGAATTTGAAGTATAAAATATTTTGGTTTTATCAACTGAGTTGATGAAGTAAGTTTGTCACCGTGAAGAGTTTCATTCGTCAGAGCGATTGACGAAGGGCTAACACTTGATACGTCAGTTTCTTTAGAATTTTACCCTCTTTCTTGAGTCATAAAACTTTAACATTAAGCACAACAACACTTTTGTTTTATAACTGTACTACTACTGACTAAACTTAGAGAATATTAATGCAACTTTAGGTTTAATTACTTGTTTCCTACATTCTACAAATGCAAAGAAAGAATCGTTTTCCTATGTACCCCCCTTGAACCTTTAAATCCCGGAAGTGATTAACATGTAACTTCTCCCTCTGATATCCATACATTATCAAACACATAGGTAATGAGAATATTCAAACTTATCAGTTAGAGGTTGTTATCTTGACCTAACACCAAATTCTCATCACTGATTTACAAGGAAATGTGTAGCAGTCAGATGGGAGAATTAATAATTAGATCTTGAGATTTAAATTAAGGGTTAAACTTTCCATTTTTGTAGTGTTGTTGGCCCAATTGTGTGTGCGAAGACGCCTGGAACAACACTTATTCTTGTGTCCGTTCTCTGAGCTCGTCGGAAGACATGATGTATTGCGAGTTTAGAGATAAAGAGGTAACTTAACAGAGAACAAATAAACGTGTACTGCGCTAGGTATGTCTAAAGGAAGCTGGGAGCGATACGAGTTTGATAGTCAGGATATTTGAATTTCTAGTAATGGGCTTAGCCGTGGAGCAATTACAAAATCTGAAAACCTGTTACTCGGTTCACGCGCGTTTTCGACTTCCTGCGCTTTCCACTGATTGTTTGTTTTCCCGCGCTTTGTTCTGCGGCGTGTTTTCGCGAGATTTTCTTCCTGTTGAATGCTATTCCCGCGCTTTAAATTTTTTCTTTTTGTCGTATTTTTTTCTGGTGATTTTAAAACGTTCTCTTGTTTTTCCCGCTTTGGAAAGTTGCTTGTCAATTGCACTGTTTAAAATTCGCTGGTTTCAGACCTCGTTGTTCACTTTTAGAAACCCTTTCGTATAGAATATAGTAAATTCCGTGTTATGACTGGCTAACGTGCTCGTAGTTTATCAGTTCTTGGAGAGCGCGTCGAAAAACCAAGGCTTTGCGCCAATGAATCCTCGATCAAAAATACTATTAAATTTGGAATGTATTACTTTTTCTAATAGCAATCGGTATTTCGCCTAAGTATTCTTTTCAGGTCTTTTTTCTTTCTCTGTCATTTGATTCTCTCTCCAAATTTTCTAAATTTGCCTTTTTTCGTTTATTCCGATGCAGGCCTTTGTGGAGCTGTACGATATCAAGAAAGATCCTGATCAGCTGAAGAACATCGTCAAAGAAGTTAATCCGAAATTTCTGGCCAAAAAGCACTCTCGCCTTGTGGATCTAGTGACATGCTCAGGGGACTCTTGCAGGGAGTCCTGCTGTGAGACCGAGGATACGGTGCTTTGAATTGTGACCAATCAGACGAGATCTGTCAATGTCACTCGAAAGAAACTAGTACAGTACTAATGTAAACGATATGTTTCGTTCTTAGCGGGGTCAGGGGGTAGGGGTAGGGGTAAATTGTCCCCACATCATGACTGAGAGCTAATATTTTTCCGTACAGCCCGACCTAACTCATGAAGTAAGCTCGGTATCATATGAATGCCCCTCCTCCCCTTCTTTTTTTTCCTTTCTCCTTTTAGCTCACGCCTCGCGGGGCCTTACGGAGTTTTTCGGCCCCGCTCACTTCATCGCTTACAGCCCTCATGCGGGGATTTTTTCCCAATGTTTACGACAAAGCGCGCCCGAGGCCTAATGGCTCATGTGACAAAGTACGGTAAAAGAGATTTGGTAATGATAATGTGAAGTTCTAACAACAGTGTCCAATAAAAGTTGTAAATGACATCGCTAAATACACCTTCGCATCGCTTATATAAAAAGCAAACAATTTCTTCGACCCTTCAGTGATGCGGTTGTTCTAGAAATTTAATCGTGTTCAGAAGCTTTCGCTTGCTGTTTCTTTCTGTTGTTGTTTTACCTCCGTTTTTTTGCTAAATCTGCTTGATACGGAAAGCGGTAGGGTGATCTAGAACGATTTCTGATTCTTTACTTCGTAAGACTATAAAACATTTTCCTCCAAGTCACTAGCAGGTATGTTCGTGTCTTAAACAAAATAAAGGAATTGAATTTTGAGGTTTTATCTCCTTCAAGTCAACCAATGTGGCCGACGTAACGTCGCGTGACAGACTCTTCGATGTTATGTAACGCTCACCCCGAAGAAGCTTCTTTGAGGAGTNCAAAATGGTGTGCTAATAAAAGGAATAAAATGGAATACTTGTCGTAGCCTTCTTTAAATCCCAAGATTTCAAAAAATTCCGAATCAGCAGGGAGAATTTTCAGGGGGGCGTGTGTGGTTGTTGGGTGGGATGACAGGTATAATCGAGCACTCCGTACGTCGTGACGGCAGATAGTTTCTGATTGGTTCCAACCGAATCGAATGTGTTATTCACCCTAGTTAAAGAAAATTGTTCCAAAGGTTCGTCTACGCATCGAAATTCAATTATGCTGAGCACATTCAAGCATCTCTTTGTTTTGTTTTGTTTTGTTTGTTAGCCCAATTGGTAAAGCGCTGCACTAGTCGCAGAGGTCAGTGGTTCGAATCCCGTACAGGCTTGAATTTTTTCAGGTCTGATTTTCACTAAATAGTGCTCTTTACTGCGAATAATAAATATTGCCTTTTACTTCGAGGATCGTGCACAAATACGTTCTGCTAATTATAACTACAAAACCGTCACACCAGCAAAATTTTAATTGCTAAAAAAGTTCAGTTTCTCAAGTTTATTTGAAAGCTAATGATCAATGCTTTATTCTGAAAAGAAATGGTTTATATTTACTTATTTATTACTTTTTATTGTTATTTACTAGACAAGCGTTTTGGATTGAAAACAGTTAACAAGCAAATGTGCAAACTTGGGCTTTTCCTCGACTCTGGCCTCCTCAATCAATTTTTTCTCTTTGCTTGACTGACAGACAGCCTTTCATGACAGGGAAGTGCTTCAGTCTAATTAGTACCACAGACAGCTAAGATTTGTTCCTTTGTCCATTTCAATAGTCCGATCCAACTTTTAAATTTTATTGATCATGAAGTTTCGACTTCCGCAATTCCGTCGAAAAAGGGTCGCAACGAAGAAGAAACATTGAAATTTTACTTAAAGGATCATTAAACCCCGTATCTCAATTTACCTTTTTGTTTTGTAGTTTTCAATTGAGAATTCAGCGCACAGAATGTTTAAAATTTAAGCATTTCTACTTCCGGCAGGCAGTCGAGGCTCATTACCATTGACTTCATAAATTTGATCTTGCCTTATCAGCCGGGCATAGTGGCGCACGTCTGTAATCCAGCTGCTTTGGAGGCTGGGGTCGCTGAATGGCTTGAGGGTGGGATTCCTGGGGAGAGTCAATCTATGTAGATCGGGTGTCCGCGCTAAGTTTGGCGTCAATATGGTGAACACAGAGGAATCTGAGTTCTCCAGGTTGGTTAAAGAGGAGTGAACCGGCCCAGGGTGGAAACACAGCAGGCAAAAACTCTCGCGTCAAACAGTAGTGGGATAGCGCCTGTGAATAGGCGGTTGTTCACAGCCCGTCCAAGATATTCAAACTCGGCCCTGTCTTTTTTTTTTTCTTTTACTTTTTCTGTTTTTTTTTTTTTTTTTTTTTAAAAAAAACTCGTCCGTTTCTTTGTTATGTAGTTCAATATTTTTCGCAGCTGACTTATCCTTGCTAATCAAAACTCTAATTCTCACATAGAAATAAAGCTGTTACAGCTAAAAAATTTTTTTTTCTCGAAGTTTATCAAACTGTACATCTGTGGGAGAATTGTTCTGTTAATCTAGCCAGCTAACGCAACTATGTAATTTTATCTGCTCTCCCAAGTGTTTTTACGCTAAGGGGCGCAACGAGGAAGATACTTTGAAATTTTACTTAAATGCTCATTAAACCCCGTATCTCAATTTACCTTTTTGTTTGGTAGTTTTCAATTGAGAATTCAGCGAACAAAATGTTTACAAAATGTTTAAAACGTAAGCACTTCTCCTTCCGGCGGACAGTCGAGGCTCACCACCATTGACTTCATAAATTTGACCACATCTTGTCAGCCGGGCGTAGTGGCGCACGTCTGTAATCCAGCTGCTTTGGAGGCTGGGGCCGCTGAATGGCTTGAGGGCGGGATTCCTGGTGGTAGTCGTTCTATGTAGATCGGGTGTCCGCGCTAAGTTTGGCGTCAATATGGTGAACACNTAAACTGATAGTAAATCTAGAATTACGAGAGAAATTCATGCTGTGAAAAAACCCCGAGCGTTTCATAACCCGAGCAGAGAAATACAGTCACTTTTGAACTAAAGAATTCGAACATCACATTTAAAGAATATAAATTGCCGATGCTGTGTTAAATTGTTTTATAGTGTTTTTCCTGGTTATACGGAATTCATCGAATGAGCGCTGCATCGGGGAAAGAAGGGCTGCAAAAGAGCCTATAACCTAGGTGGCTTTTAAACTTTGACCTCTAAGAGGTTAAACTTTGACCTCTAAGAGGTTAAACTTTGACCTCCAAGAGTGACAAGCGTGTAATTTCTCTATACAACATTACCTCTGAATCAAACGTTAAGGTTACAAGAAATAAAGGAAATAGTCACCATTAAAAGAAGCTGTGATTGTTAAACAAATTTTCCTTGACAGTAGCGTAGGAAATGTAATGATAACAGAATAGAGAATATGTGTTCTGATTTGTGGATATAGAGGGTTAAAGTTAAAACTTACTTTTATTGGGAAATATCAGTAGAATTATTTTGGTAACAAAAGAAAATGGTAGAATTTCTTAGATAGTACTCGTAACCGTAAGTTCAATTAGATTGTTTTGATAGATTATCAAAGGAAAATGGATTTTCAGAGGTTTTTGTTTACATTGATTGGATGACAAAATGGTGTGCCAATAAAAGAAAAAAAAATGGAATACTTGTTGCAGCGTTTTTTAGATCCAAAGATTTAATAAAAACTCCAAATCAGCAGGGAGCATTTTCAAGAGTGTCTGAATGGGGGCCGGGGGTACTTCGATAACACTACACACTTATTTTTTCGGCTACTTAACATTAAACAGTTAATTTTTAACCATTTTAACACCAACATTATAAAAATTCACTGTAACATTTTTTTGCCCATAAACAAACAAACCATGCCCTAAAAGAGGAAATATCTATGTTGGGCCTATGTTTATTGTATCAAAGAGGTTTTTTTGGCCAATTTCCAACAATTCGGGATTATTTCAAGACTTCCGAAGAGTGAGGAAGATATCCGAAAGCTTCCGGAGATGTCCGAAGGCTCCCGAAGATGTCCAAAGACCGCCGAAGATGTCCACTGAGACTGCCAAAGATTTCCACAGACTTATGACCGATGATATTTGAAGACTACCGGAGATTTGGCTTGTATAACCCATAACAGTTCTATTCTTAAAGCGCTTTTACAGCGAGGATACACTAACCGTGACCACTTAGAGAGAAGACATCAGTAACAAATCAGATTACGATATTCAAATCAAACAACCAATGGGATAGAACATCGAAATAAGCAGTAAAATTAAGTAAATTTACGGATTGTCATCCATTGTATGAATACGTCAATATGATCGGTTAGCTTTGTGAGATGGTCCCATTTGGGGTATCTGCACTGTAAACAAAAAGAGATAAA